AAGATTGGAGGAGGACCAGTAGTGGTACACTGTAGGTAAGAGAGAGAGTTATACTGATAGACTAATGATGAGTAATTGATTATTGTGTGTGTGCGTAGTGATACAGTGAGTCGTTCAGGAGTGTATTGTTCAGTGAGTATTGGTCTAGAACAGTGTAAGGCAGAAGGTGTAGTGGATGTGTTTCAAGTGACTAAAGCTGTGAGAAGGAGTAAACCAGGAGCTGTGACTACACTGGTATATACTAGATATATGAGTGGGTACTAGTGTATTAATGATATTATCTGTTTACAGGAGCAGTATACTTCCATATATGATGTGATTGACATGTACCTTCAGATGAACAGCACGTATGGAAACTTCTCAATTAACAAACAATAACAGTATTATACTGATGATAATTTATTAATATTTTTTATTGCAAATATTTTTATGTCTCACTTTTTATTAGAGATTTTGTTATAGTTATGCATTTTATTTTTCCTGCCGTAAATCATGTAATTTTAGAAATTTAATTTTAATTTTTCAATTTAATAATAATTACTACTAATTATTAATAAGATTTTTGCCTCGAATTTTACAAAGAAGATGCCAATGTTAGTCGTTGTATCTGTTGTCTTCTTGTTGAGTGCTAGTGAAGTTATTAGTCAATGTCCACCTTCCTCAGGTAAGACACTGGATGTGTATAATAACAACTGTATAGGTTTTTATAGGTATCTACCTGACTAGATCTAATGAAGGGACCTGTTATCCTAATGGATCATATTTTTGGGATAATACTGTTAATGCAGCTAATGAAGCTATATCATGTGTATTACCTGGTACTAGTCTAACTACTGGTCAGTGGGTTAGAGTTGCTGATCCTGATGATGATCCTGTTGACTGTAACAGTAATAGTGCCAGTGATCCTTTTCGTTGTACTTCTGTCACTTCACCTGATGCTACTATCAGTCTTTATCTTGCTCAGTCACTATCAGCAACTACAGAAGGCTGGTACAAGTGTTGTCTACCCACTGATTGTTCAACTTCTGGTACTAACATCATCTTTGCTAATATATTCAGTAAGAGGAGACTATAATCACTTACTGATGTAATGATTTCATTTGTAGGATTTTCCAGAGATAGAATCATTTACTGTTGCTGATCTTCCTTCTGATATGACAGTATATCCTCAGGAATACAAACTGAATTGTACTAAAATTGGACATCATGGGTATGATATTAGTATGAGCATTGGTAGTACTGCACTGGCTAGTTATACTGGATGTAATGATGATAGTAATGCTAATCCTTGTACTGCGGGCACTGAGTTAGATGGTGATACCAACAGAATAAGTTATACTGTTACTATCACATGGGATGGAATGACTGTCAGTAGTGGATCAATCAGTCAATCAACCACTGGAGATCAAATGTATCAGTGTGTAGTGCAAGTTACTGATCAACCAACTAGAACACGTGATGTAACTATAAAAGGTAATGTTTATGAATGCTAATAATAATATTTGATATCAATAATATTAGTACCAGCAACTGCTCCCTCTTCTCTTACTGAGGTCAGCAAGACAACTACCTCTATCACTGTCAGTTGGACTGCACTTAATTCATCTGATGCTGATGGATATGTAGTCAATGTCACTAGTGACACGGACCCTGGGCAGATAGTACCGCTGGACGGAAGTAGTAATGATGCAATCACACTGAATGGACTGAGAGAAGGAACAACTTATAGCATCACAGTCAGAGCCTATCAACAATTACTGGGACCTGCTAGTACAATCAGTGCTTTCACTTATTGTCAGCAACAAGGTATTTCAATTTTAATATAGATCATTATAAAGTTAATATTCAT